GATCTGATAACATTGATAGTCACACTTAACAGTGTTAATTTTTATTTTTATTTTAATTCTTAAAAATTTGATCTTTTGTACTGCAGCATTGGAAAGTATATCAAGAAATTTCAGAAATATTTATTCTGGTGCCAGCACTACTAGGTCTAAAAGGAAACTTGGAAATGACTCTTGCTTCAAGACTGTCTACTGCTGTAAGTATAATTACTTATTATTCCATAATTGTTATTTTTRAAATTACTTTAGTTGTATTTGAATGCACGTAATTGATCCAACATGGCATCATATCAAAGTAAAAATTGTAATGGTTATTCTGGGGTGGAATAACTATGACAACAGTTTATTGGTGTTTTCTTTTTTTCAGGCAAATGTTGGACATATGGATAATAAAGCAGAGCTCTGGAAGCTAATTGGAGGGAACCTTGCTCTTTTGCAGGTACGTGCTATTAAAAGACTTAGTTTAAAGCCTCAATATTATACAACAACAATTATAACAACAGCAACAGTTAATAGAGACAAACTACACCAGCATCAACCAGAACAACAACATCAATAATTATCTGAACCCTACAAATTCCATATACAAATCCATGTTTTTTTTATCCCTCCACAACTTTGTTAGTATTTCGTCCATGGCTTTAAAACTTTCCATGAATACCTATTTCTAATAGGTCTTCTATATGACAGTGTTTAATGTTTCCATAATATTATAAATTGTATAAAATCAATGGTGGGCACTTATGAAAGTGGTCTATATGAAAGGTTAATCTTATACGTATTTCTTAATAAATTTGGAACTTCAAGTTAAAGGTGCTATTTACAACAAATAAATAATAAGCTAAAGATAATTCAGGGGCAGATATCTTAAAATATATATGTTCATACATGAYAACAGCACAACAAAAGTTACTTGACATGCATGTACAGTTATCCACTAATAGCAATTATCCATGTACACGGTTKTACACTGCATATACACTACGTACTAAGATAGGTTATCTGTTATATTGGTAAGCTCTTTTCACCATTATTTTATAAGTATTAGTCTGCAGGTCTGAAATAACTAAAAATCAATATCATTTCCCCTAATCTTGGTTATAATGATATATTGCAGGTGCAAGCAACTGTTGTGGGTGCACTAGCATCAGCTGCAGCAGTCCTCATGGGATGGGTGCTCGACGGCCATTTTGACATCAATCATGCATTTCTTTTGTGTGCCAGTGGATTGGTAACAGCGACGTCWGCTAGTTTTGTTCTTGGTTCTATCATGGTTGCCGTAGTACTTGTGTCAATCAAGTGTAACATAAATCCTGATAATGTAGCAACTCCAATAGCAGCAAGTTTAGGAGACTTGACAACTCTTGCTTTATTATCAGGGATAAGCAGATTTTTATATAATAAAATAGGTAAGGATGAAATAAGTCATGAATTAAAAAGAATATTCCGTGAAACATGAAAGGAAATGCTATGAAAAACCATAGTTAATAGTTATTAACTATGGAAAAACAGAATTTGTGCTAAATGAAAAAGCCCTTGAATTGAAAACTTTGTCTCAGCAAAGGTGACACAAAAAGCCCTAGAAAATACAAAAATGCTAAAACCCCTTGAATCTGATGACTTGGATGCTTCTTCTTTGGGTCGCAAAAGTGAATGGTCTTAAAGTCATGAATGAGAATTTTCCATGAGAAATGAAATAAGCAGCTATCTTTGGATCATGAAAGGAGACCTCCATTAGAACGTGTGATGATTGCATCTGTATTTTATTTGAACTCTATGAAAATGTTCCATCAGGCTGCATACATGCATCAGGAGTTTCGGAGAACAATGCGTCCGCCATCTTGAAAAGTGAGACTCAAATCACAGGCGGCCTGCAAATCACTAAATTATAACTTACTCCTAAAGAAATTAAAAGGTTCTAAGTTAATGTAATTTTAATATAATATACGTTATGATGATAGATTAGTTGACTAAGCAGCTATGAAATTTGTTCTAAGGCAAAACAGTGATTCAGGGCCCACTTTTCAAGATGGCGGACACATTGTTCTCTTAAACTCCTGATGCATGTATAGAGAATGCTCATTAATTAGTGTGCAAAGAGAATTCAATRTTAGATAGAAAGCTTGTTTCTGTGACCTCAAGTTTATGTTTTCAGGTGAAATATCCACTTATTTCTAGCCAATGTTTTTCAGGTACTGAACATCACTGGATTGCACCAGTAATATGTGCATCATTCTTTGTAATATTACCATTATGGTTCTACATTAGTCACAAAAATCACTTCACACATGGAGTATTGTACTCTGGATGGACTCCAGTCCTCTGTGCTATGATAATAAGCAGGTAAATTATTCTACACGTAGAATGAAAMAGGAGTAGAGTGCAGTTCGCGTCATACGTCCGTGATATTAAGAATATTAGTTATTACTATAACTATAAAACAAACAAATTTTGAACTATTTTAATAAATAAATCACATGAAAAAAGTTTGGGCTGCGCTCACACGTAACATGCGTTTAAGAGGAACATCGTTTTCTTTTATCGTTTACG